CTGTCATCATTTTCTCTCTCTCTCTCTCTCTCTCTCTCTCTCTCTCTCTCTCTCTCTCTCTCTCTCTCTCTCTCTCTCTCACACACACACACACACACACACACACACACACACACACACACAAACACACTGAAAGAATCCTTTATTCTGTCCACCTTGGGTATTTTTCCCATCTGAAGAAAAATTTAGTTGACAGAAAGGCTTACTATCCTGTGGCAGAGAGTTTTTATTTCTTCCCAGTCTGTTCTCGGCATCCTGGCTCAAGATATACCCTTTCTTCCAGAAACGTTTTTTAGATGAAGTTGTTGAGGGACGAGTTCGTCATTCTAAAATGCCTTAAATTGGGATGTCTTCTTGTCTTTAAGAAAGCCATAACATTTAATTTAAGGAGTTTAATATTAGCAGCTGTGGAGTCTAAACCGGATCGGCTTCAGATACCAGGATGGGACTTTTTCAGGGATTAAATGCAGAGAATTTTGTGACAGCCTCATGTGTGTCTGTGTCTTAAAAGGCTGCAGTGTGTGCTAAGCAGGACAGTTTGTTAAATGAGTTTTGCTCCATTTTGCGTCGTTTCTTGCCACAGTTATTAAGCGAATCACTACAGCTGTTAAGTTGTTAAGTGGATCTCGCTTCCCCGTTGACTTTGCAACTGCAGTTGACAGGTGTCCGAATTTTGGTCACGTGATCACAAGGATGGCGAGTGTAAAAAACATAAGTCATAAGTAACTTCAAACCGTCACTAAATTGAGGACTATATCTGCATTTCTCTTGGTTACTTTTGCGTCTGGAAGCAAGAAAAGCATTAAAATTAGAAGTGCTTGGCTAGATTTAATCCTGCTTTGCTGCAAGCCGGTAATGAATCCATTGAATTAAGTCAAAATATTGTTGGACGGACGTGGTTTTGGCAATTTTTCGTTACCCAAACAGGCCTTCACCTCATTGAGACCAGCTGTTGTTTTGCCGCCACTACAAAATCCTGTTTTGACATGGCAACTGGGGGGCCCTATTAACAGCTCCTCCCAATAACCATCTCTTGTGAGATAGACAAACTGTGTGTGTGTGTGTGTGTGTGTGTGTGTGTGTGTGTGTGTGTGTGTGGTATTTCCCCCAGATCAGAGTGTTCTTTTCAAGAGGTTGAAAAATCTCAGCTTAATATTCAATACAGTATTCAAATGCGCGCATTTAAAATAGGTATTCTTTTTTTTTAAGACAAGAAGTGCAGATGTCCAAAGAGAGAGCAGTAAATTGGTGCCTGTATTTTCCACATTATTGTGCATTTCAGTTTTCCTCAGGACAGATGAAATGTTGTCATGCTGTTATGTTTCCAGCTTGACGGTTTGGGGCAGGGGTAGGCAACCTTGGCTCTTTTATGGCTCCTGGACTTCAATTCCCAGAATTCCTGAGCCAGCCACGCTGAGGGGAAAGGGAGAGATTTCCAAGCTGAGCCAGGCTGGCTCAGGAATTCTGGGAGTTGAAGTCCACCAGTCATGAAGGGGCCATAGTTCCCCCATGCTGGCTCAGGAATTCTGGGAGTTGAAGTCCACCAGTCATAAAGCAGCCTAGGCCTAGGCCAGGGGTAGGCAACCTTGCCTGTTTTATGACTGATAGACTTCAATTCCCAGAATTCCTGAGCCAGCCACGCTGAGGGGAAAGGGAGAGGTTTCCAAGCTGAGCCATTGTTGGCTCAGGAATTCTGGGAGTTAAAGTCCACTAGTCATAAAAGAGCCAAAGTTGTCTACCCCTCGTTTTGGGGTGTTTTCGCTGGTTTCACTTCCATGTAAAAGCTGATTTTTATTTATTTATTTATTTATTTATTTTGAAAAGCTGAACTAGCACTGTGTTTGCTCACGAGCAAGGCTGCTAAACTCCAGTCAAAAACTAGGGAACACAAATGTATCTCTCTCTCCCTACCTACCTACCTACCTACCTATCTATCATCTCTATGATATCTATCATCTATCATCTCTATCATATCTCTATCATCTCTATCATCTATCTATCTTATCTATCATCTATCATATCTATCATCTCTATGATATCTATCATATCTACCTATCATATCTATCATCTCTATGATATCTATCATATCTATCTAATATCTATGATATCTATCTCTATCATTATCTATCATCTCTATTATCTCTATCATTTATTATATCATATCTATATCTATCATCTCTATCATCCATTCTCTATCATTGTCTGTCTGTCTCTGTCTCTTTGCCTGCCGTCTGTCTGTCTGTCTGTCTGTCTGTCTATCTATCTATCTATCTATCTATCAATCAATCAATCAATCACATGACTCTGGGACACGGTAACCGTCATAGATATGAGTCAGTTGCCAAGTGTCTGAATTTTGATGACGGGGCCATGGGGATGCAGCAATAGTCATGTGAAAAACGGTCATAAGTCACTTTTTTAGTGCCGTTGTAACTTGGAACGGTCACTAAACACACTGTTGTAAGACAAGGACTATATAAATAGATAAGTAATCCATTCTATATTGGCTCCGTGAGTTTGAATGTTCTCTGCCCTTTTGGGCCTCCAACCTGAAAGAAAAAGTCTTGATGCGCATCGAGACATCTTCGTCCCCAGTATTTTAAGTGTGTTCAAACTACATTATGTGTGTGACATTGTGCTGGCTGGGGGTTCCGAGTGATGCAATAGCTGAAGGGCGCAAAGTAAAGGCAGCCTCAGGTGTCCAGGGAGAAGGGGGGGGGGTGGAGCATCGTCCTATAAGCCTCTCACCCCTTTTGTACATGTGATAACATCACACAACTTCAGAAGGGTGTGTGTGTCTAGAGATTCCAATACTCCATCCAGCACTTTGTCTATTTTGACACACAATCGCCCCTTTGTAGCTGCTTTCTTCTTGGCACACACTGCTGCTTAAGGAATTCTTAGCTGAAGATTTTTTTGAGTTTCATTCTCATTAATTTACCCCTTGTTAAGAGATGGCCTTATCCAAACTGCCTCAATGAGGCCTAGATCCTTGGTTCAGGGAAATCTCCAGATAAAAGCATTTGATGGCCACTTTCCCCTTTTGTTAAAGTTTAATAATAATAATAATAATAATAATAATAATAATAATAATAATAATAATAATAATAATAATAGTAGTAGTAGTAGTAGTAGTAGTAGTAAAGTTGGAAGGGATCCTGGAGGTCATCTAGTCCAACCCCCTGCTCAGGCAGAAAACCTTATACCATTTCAGACAAATGGCTGTCCAGTCTCTTCTTGAAAACTTCCAGTGTTGGAGCATTCACTGCTTCTGGAGGCAGGTGGTTCCACTGGTTAATTGTTCTTACTTTCAGGAAGTTTCTCCTTAGTTCTAGGTTGGTTCTCTCCTTGACTGATTTCCATCCATTGCTTCTTGTGCTGCCTTCAGGCGCTTTGGAGAGTAGCTTGATTCCCTCTTCTTTGGGGCAGCCCTGAGATACTGGAACTCTGCTATCATGTCCCCCCTCATCTTTCTCTTCATTAAACTAGACATACTCAATTCCAGCAACCGTTCCTTATATTTTAATTGTAAAATAGCTGTTTCCTTAGACCACAGAAATGCCACATGTTGAGAAAGTATAGAGTATTTCACAAGTAACTCAATTTCCTGCATGTTCTGTTTGATTAAGTGTATCCTGTTTAACGTATATTCCTGTTCAGGGTTATACTTAACTCTGAGAAAAAGGAGGTTACGGAATGTCCGGGGCATTAAAAAAAGTGGGTTCTTTCCATATCTGTGAAAGAAGGAATGCAATTATTGGGAAAATAGTAATAATTTTCGTTCGTTTAAAAATAGTACGTATTTCTTTTCCGACAGGTCATTCAAATTTACGTAGCCATATTGACCCGGTGCCAGTGGTTTTTGGCTGGGCACAGCGATAGATGATCAACTTCTAATTTATATATTTTTCCTGGCCTTGGCTTTAAAACAGTGTTTCTCAACCTTGACAATTTTAAGGCATGTGGACTTCAACTCCCAGAATTCCACAGCCAGCAATGCTGGCTGTGGAATTCTGGGAGTTGAAGTCCACATGCCTTAAAATTGTCAAGGTTGAGAAACACTGCTTTAAAAGATTACACTTTGATGGGGCAGCATATTTGGAATAGGACAGAGAATAAGTTGATCCTACTTTAACATTAGGAAGAAGGGGCAATTCTCACCGAAACCCAGGCAGTCTTCGACTTACGACAATTGAGCCCAAATTTCTGTTGTTAAGTGAGTTCCTCTCCATTTTGTGATCTTTCTGGCCATAATTGTTAAGTGAATCACAACAGTTGTTAAGTGATCAACCCAGTTGTTAGGTGAATCTAGTTTCCCATTGACTTTGCTTTTTTGCAAAAGGGATCACTTGACCCCAAAGGGATCACTTGACCCGGGACGCTGCGACCGTCATAAAGATGAGTCAATTGCCAAGGGGCTGAATGTTGACCCCGTGATCCTGGGGGAGGATGCTGCCAAGGTCCTAAGTGTGAAACAGCGGTCATAAGTCACTTTTCCCAGCGCTGTCGTAACTTCGAACGGGTCACTAAGCAAGTGATTGTTAGGCGAGAAAAGAGAAATTTTTAAAGGGAACAAAATGAAATATTTTTGGCAGAATGTCCTCCTTTCAGCCATCTGGGCTGGCTGAGTTTCTCCGTAGGGTAGCCTGTGAAATTCCTTTTGAATTTTTCAGCTTTGGTTCAACAAACCAGGATTCAGTTGCCAAGGTTGACCAAGATAAGGACACCAGTCGGACCGAAGTTGTGCATAAGGAGTTAAGAAGGACTCCTTGTCTATAATCTTCCTCTCTTTGACGAATGATAGAGCAGACAGGAGGGTGGATGTTGCATGAAACATAAATCCGTGCAGACAATTAGTAATCGCTTCCTAGTAAACTCCGTGGAATGTGTGCTTCCTCTGAGCTAGGGAGGTCCTTGTTCTTGTTGGGGTCTTGGAAGAATCGGAGAGGGGCCACTGTCAATGTCATTCTTATTTCTCCATTTGTTTTTTTGTCTTGCAGCAAGTTGTCCAGAATCTGTGCTTCCTTGCACCGAAACGAGAGGAACTAATTTTCTGGCCCCTGGGGGGCTTGCAGGTAAGACTCTTGAGATCTATTCTGTGCCCCTTCTGTGGTTGTTGTGTCTTTTCCAACAAAGGAGGTTGAACCTCTGGAGCGTGTTCCCCAACCCTGGCCAGCTTTAAGATAGATGGACTTCAACTTCTCAGAATTTCCTGGCTGGAGAATTCAAGAAGTCCACCTATCTTAAAGTGGATAAGATGGAGAAAGGCTACTATAGGGCAGTGTTTCTTAACTGTGTCAACCCTAGGATGGGTGGACTTCAACCTCCCAGCTGGCTGGGGGCTTCTGGGAGTTGAAGTTCATGGGTCTTAAAGGTTGACAAGGTTGAGACACACTCATCTTGATGGCTCTTTGCCACCTAGTTGTGAATCTGTGTTGTAAGCAGCATCCTCAGGTAACCTCTGTTGCCTGCTGGATTAGATCTGATGCTTTTCCAGGAATGAGAAATCTTAGCCCGGTTTTTCCCTTGGGAGTTAGAAATTTTGGAAGCGGTTTTGTACCATCTATGGACAATCCGGGGTCTTGGATAGCTGATGTGTGTTCACACCAGTGTTGGGGATGAAGAGAAAGTATGCAAGCAAGCTGATGGATCTCATCCATGAGCAGATGTTGAATGGATTGCTGTGCAAGATTCCCCCTGTTTTTCAGACATAAATTAGTCTATATTTTGCTTGGGATTTGAAATCCTCTGCTTGCGTTTTCGTGAACGGTTGCCAAGAGGCTGGAGTCGCTTTGCGTTTCTGCAAGAAGTCTCTTTCTCCCACAGGTTCATATCTGAAAAATCTTCCTGTTTATAATTCTGTGCATGGTAATCTAGCCTCAAGGGAATACTTCACCTTGGTCGTTCCAGATTTTGATTATTTCTGAGTCCTTTTAAATGTGTTGCACTTCAGTCCTACCGGCCAGGAACATGAGTTGAGTTTTCTGAATACTTCACCTTGGTCGTTCCAGATTTTGATTATTTCTGAGTCCTTTTAAATGTGTTGCACTTCAGTCCTACCGGCCAGGAACATGAGTTGAGTTTTCTGTAGTCTGGTCTGTCTACGTTCAATTTTGTTTCCTTGAATAATTATACTTCCCGGCATCCTTCGCCAAAACAGCCATTCGTGGGAATGTTGGGAAGGGTAGTTTAGCAAGGTCTGGCTGGCCTCCGGTTGCACGACCGAGTTTTAGCAGCTGTGGAATTAAGATGGCCATATATCACATTTCTGGTCTTGCAAGCTTCTATCTGTCCTCCCTTGTTGAGAGCTGCATGTGAGCCTAGTAGACAATGATGTTGGCAAGCTGGCAGTACCACAGTTAGCTAAAGGCAACGTCTGCCTGTGTGATTTATGCGCAGAGAGCTAAATTATATACTGTCCACCGTAAGGGTGTGCCAAAGCAGCCTCCTGCTTTTTGCAAGTCTGCAAGTCCAGGCTGGCTTCTGGTGATTAAGGCTTGGGTGTAAAGCATTTTGGTGGCTTGCAATTTAATCTGGGAATGGCTGTTCTCTGGAGGAGCAGGAGGAGGAGGAGGAGAATGTGGAAAAGAACATCCTAAGATTAGCTCTCCCCCCCTCAGGAACCATACTGGCTGGGGGATTCTGGGAGCTGAAGTTCAGATACCTTTGAAGCTTGCTAAGGTTGCAGGAATCCTTGTACTTACAACAACGGTTCATTTAGTGACTTGTTCAAAGTTAGAATGGCCCTGAAAAAAAGCGCCTTGTCACCCTTTTTCACAGTTAACAACCTTTGCAGTATCCCCGTGATCATCTGATTAAAATTCAGAGCTGGAAGGGACCTTGGAGGTCTTCTAGTCCAGCCCCCCGCTCAAGCAGGAGAACCTGTTCCATCTCAGACAAGTGACTGTCTAGCCTCTTGTAAAAATAGAATCAAGCTGGAAGGGACCTTGGAGGTCTTCTAGTCCAAGCCCCCCCACCCACCCCCCCCCCCGCTCAAGTAGGAGAACCTATACCATCTCACACAAGTGACTGTCTAGTCTCTTCTTAAAAACCTCCAGCGATGGAGCGCCCATGATTTTCTGGTGGCAAGCTGTTCCACTGGTTGACTGTCCTCACTCTCTGGAAGTTTCTTCTTAATTCCAGGTTGCTTCTCTCTTTGGTCAGTTTCCAACCATTGTTTCTCATCCTTCCCTCTGGTGCTTTGGAGAATAGTTTTGACCCCCTCTTGTCCTTTGTGGCAGCCCCTCAGATACTGGAACTCTGCTATCATGTCACCCCTATTTCTTCTTTTCTTTAGACTAGCCAAACCCAAGTCCCGTAGCCGTAGATCAAGAGTCTTCAAACTTGGCCCTTTGATGACTTGTGGACTTCAACTCCCACAATTCCTCAGCCAGGCACAGGAATTCTGGGAGTTGAAGTCCACAAGTCATCAAAGGGCCAAGTTAGAAGGCCCCCCCCCGCTGTAGATGTTTGGCAACTGGTTCATTCTTACAACCATTGCTGTGTCTCAAGGTCATGTGGTTCAATGGTGAAAAAAGCAAGGTTCTACATTTAGGCAAGAAAAACCAAATGCACAAGTACAGCATAGGTGGCACCATGCTCAATAGTAGTAACTGTGAGAGGGACCTCGGAGTCCTAGTAGACAATCACTTAAATATGAGCCAGCAGTGTGCTGCAGCTGCCAAAAAGGCCAACACAGTGCTAGGCTGCATTAACAGAGGGATAGAATCAAGATCACGTGAAGTATTAATACCACTCTTACAATGCCTTGGTAAGGCCACACTTGGAATACTGCATCCAGTTTTGGTCACCACGATGTAAAAAAGATGTTGAGACTCTAGAAAGAGTACAGAGAAGAGCAACAAAGATGATTAGGGGACTGGAGGCTAAAACATATAAGGAACGGTTGCGAGAATTGGGTATGTCTAGTTTAACGAAGAGAAGGACAAGGGGGGACATGATAGCAGTATTCCAATATCTCAGGGGCTGCCATAAAGAAGAGGGAATTAAGCTATTTTCCAAAGCACCTGAAGGCAGGACAAGAAGCAACGGGTGGAAACTAATCAAGGAGAGAAGCAACCTAGAACTAAGGAGAAACTTCCTGACAGTGAGAACAATTAATCAGTGGAACAGCCTGCCTCCAGAAGCAGTAAATGCTCCAACACTGGAAGTTTTTAAGAAGAGACTGGACAGCCATTTGTCCGAAATGGTGTAGGGTTTCCTGCCCGAGCAGGGGGTTGGACTAGATGACCTCCAAGGTCCCTTCCAACTTTACTACTATTACTAAAAAATCATTGGGGGACGCCAGGTTCACTCAACAGCTGGGTGACTGACTTACCAATTGCAGTGGTTCACTTAACAACTGTGACAAATAAAGGTCGTAAAATGGGTCAACGCTCAATTTTAATAAAAGGTCTCGGTTGACATCAGAAATGTTGGCCTCGTAAATGGTGACCGTAAGTCCGGGAACTACCTCTATAATTAATCCCCCCTTCCACTTGAAGGCCTTGGTGTAGTTCTCCCGTCTTCTGTGGCGATGCAGTCTGCAAACTCTTAGGAGCTTTTTGCTAAGGCCCTAAAAATACTCGTTTGGACTTGCGTATCTATTGAAAGATAAGTTTTCTTTGGCCCAGGGATCCGTGTTGGGTTTACAGAAAAGCCAAACTCCCGTTCATTAGTTTACAACTGGAATGTCAGGAGACTGTCCTTCCCACCCCCAGTAAGTGTGTGCTCAACTTTTGTGCGTCTGTTTGTATGTACGCGTGGGCTTTTCAGTCTCTAGGAATTGCTTTCAGCATGGCTTGTGTTTATGTGACTCTCCTCTGCTGTTTTCTCCCCCCTAATGTAATGTATACCCTCGGCCTGTTATTTGAGAGGGGAGGATTCTGTGTGTTCAAAGGCAGCTAATAAGAATTAATCAGAAGGGAAGGGAAAAAAGAGAAGTAAGGGTCTGCCTCCCCTTCTTTTTTTAAAAAAATGTGTATTCCCTTTCAACCTTCTTGTGTAGAAGAAGGTTCAAGAGGGGGGGGGTGGGGGGAGAAAAAAACTCTTACCAAACCAGGCTCTACAATAAGAATGCTAAATAGTTGAAAAGGAGAGAGGGGAAAAAGAAAAAAAAAAAAGAAATATGCCAGAGGGTGGAGTTCAGTTCCGCAGGATACCACATGAAATAAGCAAACTGAAGACTAGGATTGCTGGCCTGGTAGCAGAAGGCTTTCTTAAGAGAAGACTTAGGATAATTCTGGGGGGGGGGGAAGGAATAATAAAGATGCTTTTTCTGAAAGTTTTCATCCTTGCAATGTTGATTCCCCCCCCTTTATTCTGCAAGGTCTCTGTCTCTTTGTTCTGCCCTTGTAGAGACCCTATAGCAGGGGCTCTTCAGACTTGGCCCTTTTATGACTTGTGGACTTCAACTCCCAGAATTCGTGCCTGGCTGAGGAATTCTGGGAGTTGAAGTCCACAAGTCATAAAAAGGCCAAGTTTGAAGAGCCCTGGCCTAGCCCAGGGGTAGGCCACCTTGGCTCTTTTATGACTCCTGGACTTCAACTCCCAGAATTCCTGAGCCAGCATGGGGAAACTGGCCCCCTCATGACTCGTGGACTTCAATTCCCAGAATTCCTGAGCCAGCCTGGCTCAGCTTGGAAACCTCTCCCTTTCCCCTCAGCATGGCTGGCTCAGGGATTCTGGGAGTTGAAGTCCACCAGTCATAAAATGGCCAAATTTGAAGAGCCCGGGCCTAGCTGAAGCCAACCCAACCTAATAATGATTAATAATAACTTTGCAGTTAGGTTTAACAAAGAGGAGGGATTGTTTAAGGGACAAAGAAAAGAATTCTGATAAATCAGGAACAGATTCTGAAAATTCTGTAACTTAGGAAGGCCTTAGAAATATCCACAACTGAGGTTTTCTGTTTTTTTACATGTGGAACTGTGATCCCGTTGGCTAAGATTTCATATAGGAGTTCTTGAAAGTACTAAATGTTCGTTGATTCTTTTCTTTTTCTTTTCTTTTTCTTTTTGCACCCTTGAGATAGCTTGCTGGAAAGTGTGTTTGAACAGGGTTGTTGTTGTTTTTT